TAGCACCACCTTGTGGCCCTTGAATAGTTTGTTTTCCACTCTGCTTTGTAAAGAGACATGGTGCTTTCTCTCCAGTAGATAAAATTGAGTAGCATGTAAGGTGTATTACTCAGATTGCTATGCCGAGGAAACAAACTTGGGCCTTGGAGTTTGAGGCTGCAGTGTGCCGTGATCGTGCCACTGCACTCCAATCTGGGTGACACAGCAAGACCCAATCTTAAAAAGAGAGAAAAGCTGCTTGGTAAGAGTATAAAATACAGGTAGCTTTCATATTATAACCTATTTATTAAGCAATTCCCTTATTACACTATCCCTTATATTTCTGTCCTCTTGCTTCTCCTGGCTGCATTCCCTAACCTTTTCCTCATAACACATCTTTTCACTTTCTACATAAGGCTTGTTATCCTTAAGCTCAGTTTTAGAGTTCTTCACTTACCATTTTATCAGATTTGTCTCCTGACATGCCCCCTTCCCCTCCCTGTTGGTTCAGAGGTTTCAGTGTACAGTCCACTGAGTTGCATATAGAGCAGTTTACTTTCACTTAGCTGCGTATTTGACATACTCCTTTATTACATGTCTCTAATGAAGGATTCTTTATTCCAGGGCACAAGTAGCAGGAAAATTGTTATAGGGTGTGTAATTATAGCTATCACATAGTGAGGAGCATTGCACTGATCCCTTCATGACTGAGGTGACTGACAGCTGAGAATTACACAGTATGGGCAACCATTCATCACTGTGCAAGCGCATTTAAAGAGCTTTCCTGCTTCAGGTTTGTTAGTGGCTATGCTATTTTTACTCCTGAATAATCTCTAACAGAATTATTTGTTTCCATATGGGACAGATCCCTGATAAGGTAATACACAGGCTGGAACAGATACAGAATATGAATAATGTCATTGGATTTAGTGAATATAACTAATAACAAGAATCCTTTTTACATAGAAGGAAAATGTACATTAGTGACATCCCTGTTGCAGACATGGCTCACATTTGCAGTGCTACAGCAACCATAAAAAGTTTGATAACCCAAAACACTGAAATGGTTTCTTTCATAGTTGGACCCTGAACGTTTTTTAAACATGAGGACCCAGCCATGCCAAAGCATTGCTGCTCACCTAGATAAGCAGGTTCCGGTTGATAGCCCCAGAGCTATTTCTCACACCAATGCTAATAAACCGACGAGTTACTAATGCGTATATGGGGTTTCTCAGGCTAATAGTAGCTGGCCAGATGCTGTGGCTCATGCCTATAATCCCAGCACTTTGGGAGGCCAAGGCAGGCTGATCATGAGGTCAGGAGTTCAAGACCAGCCTGCCCAACATAGTGAAATCCCATTTCTTTATTTTATTTTATTTTTTTAGAGAACTCCTAAGTCTCAGAAACCCCATTTCTACTAATAAAAAAAAAAGAAGAAGAAAGAAAAGAAAAAGAACCTGTGTCGATTCATCAGATAGGCAGTGCACCTGAGATAGCACTCTGGAACCCAGATTTTCCCTGTCCCTGTCTGATACTTTGGTAACATACACTGACCAGCTCGGTCTGTATCTGTTCCTATGTAATCCCTACTAGTGAACTCACCTAGTGCCATGGATTTTGCTGAGCATGGACTTGTCAAATACTCAATACTTATTAAGTTCAATTTCTTTCTTTTTCTTTTTTGAGACCGAGTCTCACTCTGTCAACCAGGCTGAAGTGCAGTGGTGCGATCTCAGCTAACTGCAACCTCTGCCTCCTGTGGAGATTCAAGCGATTCTCCTGCCTCAGCCTCCCAAGTATCTGGGACTACAGGCGCCCACCACCACACCTGGCTATTTTTTTTTTTTTTTAATATATGTTTGTATTTTTAGTAGAAACTGGGTTTCACCATGTTAGCCAGCATGTTCTTGATCTCCTGACCTCATGATCCTTTCACCTCAGCCTCCCAGCGTTCTGGGATTACAGGCCTGAGCCACCGTGCCCAGCCTATTTTTTTTTTTTTTTGAGACAGAGTCTCACTCTGTTGCCAGGCTAGGGTGCAATGGCCCCATCTTGGCTCACTGCAACCTCCACCTCCTGGGTTCAGGCAATTCTCGTGTCTCAGCCTCCTGAGTAGCTGGGATTACAGGCACCTGCCACCATGCCCAGATAACTTTTTTTTTTGTATTTTTAGTAGAGATTGGGTTTCATCATGTTAGTCAGGCTGTTCTCAAACTCTTGACCTTGTGATCTGTCCACGTCGGCCTCCCAAAGTTACAGGCGTGAGCCACCGCGCCCAGCCCAGAACCCAGTTTTTCTAATAACCAGTCTGTGCTATTTTGCAGCTTTGTAAGTGGATTTCCTAGTGTCCAGAGAGGGAACTAACTTGATTTGTTATGAGAAGAGCAGCATTTAAAGTGAAATTTATCTGCAGAAGATCAGGATTCCAGCAGTATCTAGTGTTACATTTTCTAGTCCAGTTCCCCATTAGACTGCACATTGATTTCTTTTTTGTTGCTGCCTCTCATAAATGAAATTAATTTGTGGTCTGTGCCGTAATGTGAAGAACCAGCGGCTTTCTTTCCCTGCCCCTACCCTCTGAGTCTTCCCATCTTAATACAGGCTATGTGGAAGGAAAAAAATAATCTCCCATTACTCAAAACACAATCTCAGCAGGGTATGTTTTAAATATATCTGTAGCTTTTATCTATTTTCACAAACACAAAATGAAACAGAATGAATGAAGCCACTGAAGTGTCTTTCACCTTTCTCTGTAATTGTAGTCCCTTTATCTGCCAATTCCTCTGGGGTTTCTATGGAAACAGCAGCATGCAGATGATCTTGTCACGTGACTGGAGTGTCTCTATATACGGCACAGAAGAATCCAGATGGCAAGAGCTGTCTTTGCTATCCCTACATCTACGGTTTACTTTGCCGAGCAATTGGCATCATCATTTAGGCTACCACCTTTCTATATACATACTGGGTTTGGGGACAGCAGCGAGCTTTCTTGGCTAAGATAAAAAATGAGACCAGGTACAGTAGCTCATGCCTGTAATCCCAGCACTTTGGGAGGGCAAGGTGGGAGGATCACTTGAGCCAGGGGTTTGAGACTAGCCTGGGTGGCAGAATGAGGCCCCAACTCTACAAAAAAAAAAAAATTTTTTTTTAAGATGGACTTTCACTCTGTTGCCCAGGCTGGAGTGCAGTGGCGTGATCTCAGCTCACTGCAACCTCCACCTCCCAGGTTCAAGCAATTCTCCTGCCTTAGCCTCCTGAGTAGCTGGGACTATAGGCACCTGCCGCCACACCTGGCTAATTTTTGTATTTTTAATAGAGACGGGGTTTCACCATATTGGCCAGGCTGGTCTCAGACTCCTGACCTTGTGATCCACCCACCTCGGCCTTCCAAAGTGCTGGGATTATAGGCATGGGCCACCGTGCCTGCCCCAAAACATTTTTTTTAGTTACTGGTGCATAGTGTCATGTGCCTATAGTCCCAGCTACTCAAGAGGTTTAGGTGTAAGGATCACTTCAGCCCAGGAGGTCAAGGCTACAGTCAGCTGAGATGGGGCCATTGCACTTCAGCCTGGGCAGCAGGCTGTCTCAAAACAATGGGAGAGGCTGGGCATGGTGGCTCACGCCTGTAATCTCAGCACTTTGGGAGGCCAAGGCAGGTGGATCACCTGAGATCAGGAGTTCAAGACCAGCCTGGCCAACATGGTGAAACCCTGTCTTAAAAAAACAAACAACAACAACAACAAAAACAATGGGAGATATATTTTTCAGGTTTAAGAGAAGAGTAGTCTAGGCATGGTGGCTCACACCTGTAATCCCAACATTTTGGGAGGCCAAAGTGGGAGGATCACTTGAGCTCAGTAGTTCAGGACCAACCTGGGCAACATAGCAAGATCTCATCTCTACCAAAAAAGTCAAAAATTTAGCCAGGTGTGGTGGTGCACACCTGTGGTCCCAGCTGCGGATGAGGCTGAGGCAGGAGGACCTCTTGTGCCTGAGAAGTGGAGGCTTCAGTGAGCCGTGATTGCACCATGGCGCTCCAGGCTGCGTAATCGAGCAAGACCCTGTCTCAAAAAAACAAAAGACATAAAGACATGAGTGAATAGCAGGCCTTATCCACTTTTCAAAATCTTGGTCACAGATAAAAAGACAAGACTTCTTATCTTGTAATAGATGGCTCATGCCTGTAATTGCAGCATTTTGGAAGGCCAAGGCCGGCGGGAGGTCAGGAATTGGAGACCAGCTTGGTCAACATGGTGAAACCTATCACTATTAAAAACACAAAAAAATTAGCTGGGCATGGTGGTGGGGATGCCTGTAGTCCCAGTTACTTGGGAGGCTGAGACAGGATAATTGCTTGAACCCAGGAAGCAGAGGATGCAGTGAGCTGAGATTGCACCACTGCACTCTAGCCTGAGCAGCAGAGTGAAACTCCATCTCAAAAAAAAAAAGTTTGAAATTACCTGTTAAATCCTACATCAGTTCAATTGTTTTGTTAAGATTTTTGTTTGTTTTTTTGAGACGGAGTCTCACTCTTGTTGCCCAAACTGGAGCGCAATGTTGTGTTCTTGGCTCACTGCAACCTCCACCTCCTGGGTTCAAGTGATTCTCCTGCCCCAGCCTCCTGAGTAGCTGGGATTACAGGCACATGCCACCGTGGTCAGCTAATTTTTTTTTATTTTTAGTAGAAACAGGGTTTCACCATGTTAGCCAGGCTGGTCTTGAACTCCTGACCTCAGGTGATATGCCCGCCTCGGCCTCACAAAGTGCTGGGATTACAGGCGTGAGTCATCGCTCCTGGCCAGGATTTCTTTAAAAAATATCAACACCAATAGCTCATGCCCTTAATCCTGGCACTTTGGGAGACTGAGCCAGGCAGGTCACTTCTGGCCAACAGTTCAAGATGAACCTGGTCAACATGATGAAACTCCATCTCTACTAAAAATACAAAAATGAGCCGGACAGGGTAGCCCATGTTTATTCTATCATCACTGCTACTTGGGAGGCTGAGGCAGGAGAATCGCTTGAACCCAGGAGGCAGAGGTAGCAGTGAGCTGAGATCATACCACTGCACTCCAGCCTGGGGACAGAACGAGACTACATTTCGAAAAAAAACAGAAAAAAACAAAGAAGAACAAACAAAAATATAAGTACTATTGACAGTAGAAGTGGCCCTTCTAGTCATGTTTTCTTTAACAAACATGTACTTTAGATGGAGAGAAGGGAACAGTAAAGCCCAGTCTTTGCCATTCATTTCTGTGCAAACCAGGACTGGCTGATACTACATATTCCAGATGGTAAGATCTTCTTGTCTTTTCTTCTCTCTGTTAGATTCAGTTATCCTGTTACTGTGGTAGCCTTGCAGCTCTAATTTGCTAACAGGGATCTGATAGCTAAAGAAGAAAGCTTTGCCAGTCACGATGGCTCATCCCTGTAATCCCAGCACTTTGGAAGGCCGAGGCCAGAATATTGCTTAAACTTAGGAGGTGGCTGCAATGAGCCGTGATCGCACCACTGCACTCTAGCTTGGGCAACAAAGCAAGACCCCGTCTCAAAAAAAAAAAAAAAAAGAAACAAAAGAAAAAAGAAAGGAAAGAAAAGCCTTTGCTCCAGATGTAGAGCAGTCTGAACTCATTTGTCATGATTTCTTCGGGATATTACTGCCAAGCAGGTTACAAGGTGAAGTCAATGTGACAAAAGGAAATTGGGCTAAAAGCTTCCTGAAGCCTTTTGATACTAAGCAGTCCTCCTTTTGATATTTAACACCCATGAGCATAAACTCCTGCCTTAGAAGCCACCACGGAATTTTTTTTTTTTTTTTTTGCCTTCGGTTAACAATTCTGAGTACCCATAGAGCCTTTTACTATTTGTCAGCATTCTAGAATCATCAGTATGGATTGTCAAAACTTAAGGGATATTACACTTTGCATATATCCCTTTTTTGTTAAATGTTGTGTGCATCCACATATTTTTTTTTTTTTCTTTTTTAGATGGAGTCTTGCTCTATTGCCGAGATCTTGACTCACTGCTACCTCTGCCTCCCAAGTTAAAGCGATTATCCTGCCTCAGCTTCCCCAATAGCTGGGATTGCAGGCACCCACCACCACGCCTGGCGAATTTTTGTATTTTTAGTAGAGACAGGATTTCGCCATGTTGGCCAGGCTGGTCTCAAACCCCTGACCTCATGTGATCCGCCTGCCTCGGCCTCCCAAGGTGCTGAGATTACAGGCATGAGCCACTGCGCCCAGGCATTTTTTGTTTTGTTTTATTTTGTTTTTTGAGACAAAGTCTGGCTTTGTAACCCAGGCTCGAGTGCAGTGGTGCAATCTTGGTTCACTGCAACCTCCACGTCCCGGGTTCAAGCAATTCTCCTGCCTCAGCCTCCTGAGTAGCTGGGATTACAGGTGCACCCCACTACGCCCGGCTAATTTTTGTATTTTTAGTAGAGACGGTGTTTCATCATGTTGGCCAGGCTGGTCTTGAACTTTTGACCTTAGGTGATCTGCCCTCCTCAGCCTTCCAAAGTCCTGGGATTACAGGCGTGAGCCACCTTGCCCATCATTACTTTTATATTCTTTTTTTTTTTTTTTGATGGAGTCTCATTCTGTTGCCCAGGGTGGAGTGCAGTGGTACAATCTCATTGCAACCTCCGCCTCCCAGGTTCAAGTGATTCTCTTGCCTTAGCCTCCTGAGCAGCTGGGATTACAGGCACCTGCCACCATGCCCGGCTAATTTTTTTGTATTTTTAATAGGATGGGGTTTCACCATGTTGGCCAGGCTGATTTTGAACTGGTGACCTCAAGTGATCTGCCCTACTTAGCCTCCCAAAGTACTAGGATTACAAGCATAAGCCACTGCACCTGGCCTGATTTATATATTAATTCTAATGATAATGTTTAGTCTAAGATGGACCTGACAAACCAGGCACAGTGGTTCAACAGCACTTTCGGAGACTGAGGCAGAAGGATTGCCTGAGCTTAGGAGTTTAAGGTTACAGTGAGCTGTGATCTCACCACTGCCTTCTAGCCTGGGCAACCGAGCAAGACCCTGCAAAAAAAAAAAAAAAAAGTGAAGAAAGAAAAGAAATATATATTGGAAACTAAAGTCATTTCCCATAACTTAAAGGGGTTGGGCTATTTCCAGTTGAATATAGTTTCTGCCTAGTTTGTTTTCTTCTGCCTTTTTTAAAGCTCATCTTTGGGTGAAAAATTGCCGGGAACTTCTGCAGTCCAGCTACAACAAACAACGCTTTGATCAACCTTTAGAGACTTCAACCTGGCTAAAGAATTTCAAAACTACAAATGAGCGCTTCCTGAACCAGGTGACTAGACTCCTAGAAGTTGAGTGCTAGGTAGTCTATATGGATTCTGTCCTGCCTGTGCCCTGAGTACCAACAGACTATGGAGGCCTGATATTGGAGTTGGAATAACTGTATCATTTTTAATTTCTTTCTTATGTTTTGCTTACAGTGGGCTTGCAACTTGAAACTCATTTATTCATGTGAAATAAAGAGGCAGCCGGGCATGGTGGCTCACGCCTGTAATCTCAGCACTTTGGGAGGCTGAGGTGGGCGGATCACCTGAGGTCGGGGGTTCAAGACCAGCCTTACCAACATGGAGAAACCCCATCTCCATAAAACATGCAAAATTAGCTGGGCGTAGTGGCACATGCCTGTAATACCAGCTACTCGGGAGGCTGAGGCAGGAGAATAGCTTGAACTGAGACCTGGGAGGCGGAGGTTGCAGTGAGCCAAGATCATGCCACTGCATTCCAGCCTGGGCAACAAGAGCGAAACTCATCTTAAAAAAAAAAAAAAAACTTGCATTTGTGTTTGTG